GCATGGTTCTCTGCCATTTTCACAATCATTATTAAGCTTGAGTCCTTTGCTGCTACCACTGTGCCAGTCTGTCTCACTGGGGAGGGTCTTCGTCTTTTTCACTGACACTTTGCTTTCCAAGCATGATATCCTTCTCTAGGAACTGGTCCGAAGTACAAGAGACATCCTCACTTTTAAAGAGCATGCTGGCTGTATTTTTTTGAAGACAGATTTGTTTGTTCTTCTGGCAGTCCAAGGTACCTTCAATATTCTTCTCCAACACCGTAACTCGTAACTCAAATGCATGAATTCTTCTACGGTCTTCCTTCTTCATTGTCCAACTTTCATAGGCATATGGGGCAACTGAAAATACCATGGCTTATGTTGGGTGCACCTTAATCCTCAAGCTGACATCCTTACTCTTGAACACTTTACAGAGGTCTTTTGCAACAGATTTGCCTAATGCAGTATGTCCCTTGATTTTTTGAATGCTGCTTCTGTGAGTGTTGATTGTGGATCAGAGCAAATTGAGGCTTTTGACAACTTTGATGTTTTCTCCATTTATCATGATGTTATTTATTTGTGAGGATTTTTGTGTTGTTTATACTGAGGGGCAATTCATACTAAAGGCTTAGTCTTTGATCTTCCCAGTAAGTATTTTAAGTCCTCTTTGCTTTCAGCAAGCAAGTTCTGGTCTGCATATTGCAGGTTGTTAAAGACTTTCCTGCAATCCTGGTGCCAAATTCCTCTTCATATAATCCAGTTTCTCGGATTATTTGCTCCTCATACTGATTGAAAGGTTACAACCCTAGCGCACACCTCTCCTGATTTTAAGCCAGTCAGTACCCTCTTCTGTTCTAACAACTGCCTCTTGGCCTGTGTACGGGTTCATTATGGGCACAATTAAATATTCTGGAATACCCACTCTTTACAATGTTTGTCCATAGTTTGTTATGGTCCACACGGTTGAATGCCTTTGAATAGACACTAAAGCACAAGAAAACGTCTTTTTGGTATTCTCTGCTTTCAGTCAAGATCCATCTGACAGCAGTGAAATCCTCTTCTTCATCTGGCTTGAATTTCTGCTACTACCTGTTGATGTTCTTGCTGGAATCATTTTTTAATTATCTTCAGTAAAATTTTACTGCTATGTAATATTGATCTTTATGCAGTCCATTTCATTTTTGACAACTTACAATTTTCCTAGATTCTTGCTTCATACATTGCATGTTCCGATTATTAATGGATGTTTGAAGCGGTTTTTCTTATTTTGAGTTGTGCCCAATCAGCAAATGAAGGTCCCCAAAATTTGCTCACTTCGCATCATTATGGTGAACTGTACTTTGAGGAGGCAGCTCTTCCCCAGTCCCATTTTGAGTGCTTCCAACCTAAGGGGCTCATCATCCAGCACTGTTTCTCACAATGTTCTGCCACTATTCCTAAGGTTAACCATTCAGTGGCTAACCATTCAGAAGCGGTCCACCTCACCTTTTTCCAAGTCTATCTCAGTGTGGAAGCTCTACTGAAATCTGTCCACCTTGGGTGACCCTGCTGGTATTTAAAATACCAGTGGCATAGCTTCCAGCATCACAGCAACACACAAGCCACCATAGTACGACAAACTGACAGACGTTTGGTGGTGGTGGTGGTGGTGGTGGTGGTGATTATGTGCCGTGAAGTCGGACTTATAGCGACCCTGTATAGAGTTTCCAAGGAGCAGCTGGTGGGTTTGAACCCTTGACCTTGCAGTTAGCTGTCTAGTGTTTATCCCCCAGTGCCACAAGGACTTGCAAAATCTAGATTTGCTGTTAGGAATTGTGTACTTCCAGTCTTCAAGGTTGGTCTTGCCAGATTTCACCTGACAGTGTTAACCAGTGTTAACCTATGAATAGGCATATCAGGGTTGATACTTGGCACCAACTGCATGCTGCTCATTGGTTGAGGCATTGTTGGTATACCTGAGAAATAAGAACTCTTTTGTCAGCAGGTGAATGGACAATGATTTTTAGACTCGGTGGTGATTGCTAGGCATAGAGCCCAAAGGGGAAATCAAGTTGCTAGTGTCCCCAGCTGAAAGTTTAGACAATGCACTGTTTTTCTGTGGGGTAAAGCTCCCCAAAAAAGCACTGGTTGCGTAGTGGCTACGAATCCGGCTGCGAACTGCAAGGCGTTCTCCTCCCGTCAAAATGTATAGCCTTGGAAACCCTGTACAGGGTCACTATGAGTCAGAACCGACTCCATGGCACACAACCACCACCACCACCTAAGCTCCCCAAGATGCTCTGATTCCTGGTATGGTCATCCATGAATTAAAGACCAGCCCCATCTTGGACCTCAGCTTTGCAAATTATCTGTATAAACTCTTCTACATAACCAAGAACTAGGAAAGGAAAAAATGAACAATCACAGTGGAGGTTGCCGCCTCCCACCCCCCACCTGAGGTGTCAATATGCACATACTTAGGTGGAGAGAGCACTAGTGGGCGTTTGTAAATCCAGCCCTGCTGTGGGTTAGATGAGTGCAGTTGTATGGTTCATTAGTTTCTGAGCTGCAGTTTCCTGTATGCAAAGTGGGAGTGATGATAATACCTGCTTTAAATGACTGTGGTGGCCAAGAGAGCTGATACATGAACACACCCTTGTTCTCACTGCCCATCCCTCTTTGAAGTGGCAAGTGCCTTGTATTTAAGACCAAGGGTGTGTTCTTTTGCCTCCCATACTCATTTCTGAGGCCTAACTACCTTCTCAGTACCTACTTTCCTACCCTTTTCCTATTGTCCCAGGTCCTCCCCCAGGACTGCAGAAGGACATGTGGGCCCATCTGCCTTCTCAGCAATCCTATTCAGACCCAGCTGTCACCCCAGCCTGGGAAACTTCCCAAGACTCACCTTTGAAGTCGTCTTGCTTTGAAGGCGGAGCCCTGATGTGGCACTCTAGGATAAGCACTCAACCACAAGCTTGGTTTGAACTGAAAGGTCAGCAGTTCAAACTCACCAGCCACTCCTCAGAAACCCTTTCCAGGGTTGCCGTGAGTCAGAACCGACTTGACGACACTTAACAACAACAACCTGGAAGGCAGCCAGCCCCACATTTGAGCAGTGGGCAGGGTGTCTGAGGACAGAGCTGGGGGAATGCCCAGCTGAAGAGGGCAGGGGGATGGAGGAGCTGTATGTTCTCCATGTTGAACATCTTGGCTTCATACTCCTCTGTGTTCTCCAGAAAAGCAGCTCCTTGCTCTTCCCATCCCTGCCTCTGCTTCTCCAGTGTGTGGCGTGGGGAGTGATCCTTTTCCATTGAGGAGCATCTGCATCCAGAACACACAAAGTCACCCAAGGCTGACAAGTACAGAGAGCCTGCACATGAAGGAAGTTAGCATCAGTATAGAAGCTAAAATGTCAGTTTACAAGCATGTCAGCCTTTGGAATTGTTAGGGATTGAATTGTGTCCCCCAAATATATGTGTTGCAAATCCTAATCTCTAAAGTTATGCTATAATCCCATTTTGGATTGTGTTGTTTTTGTTATGTTAATAAGATTGGTGTAGACTGTGTTTTAAATTAATCTCTTTTGAGATTATAAGAAAGATTAAGCAAGCAAGCAGAGCAGAGATGGAACCTAGAGATGCCAGGCCACATGAAGAGTACCCAGGAGTAGATGCTTCCTCCTAAACAAACAGAGAAAGTCTTTCTTAGAGCCAGCACCCTGAACTAGGAGAAATAAGTTTCTGCCTGTTAAAGCTACCCACTTGTATTTCTGTTACAGCAACACTAGGTAAGGAAAACAAGAATGCATCCTACATTCAAACTCCCCCGCTGATCTCTGAGGGTCCAGGTGGGACATGGGTTGGAGATCATAGGACATTGAGGCAGGAGACCTGAGTCCAAAGAGCAGGAGTGTGGACTGAAAGAGAAAGCAGCCTCAGCTGAAACTTCAGGGAGCTCAGTGAGGTCTGGAAAGAGGGTGCCAGACTGGCCAGTGGGGCGCAGGTGGGATGAAGAACGGGAGTCAACGTCAACTAATGCATAATGTCTGCATCAGGCCCCTTTCTGGGCGGTGCAAACAGTGTGCCTTGTGCTACTATCCAGAGAGTTGGCATTGGAAACCTACCTAGCCACACTGTGGAAGGAAGTCTGCTTCTGTAAAGGTATAGCCAAGCAAACCTGGTACAACAGTGCTTTGTAACACATGGGTTTACCATGAGTCAGAAGGGACTGCATGGCACTGGGTTTGGTTTTGGTGTTTTTAATGTTTGCATTCTGCTTTTGTGAAGTGAACCCTTCTCTGTGTGGTTGTAATTGTTCTGATTCATTTCTGACCTAAAATCCAGGATTTCCTATACCAGAAGGCAAAGGAGTCTGGGAGAACACATAGAGTGGGACCTAAGACACTTAGCTCTTTGGTCATCATTAGGCCTCTTGACCTCATTAGGTCTCAATTTCTTCTTTTGTAACCTGAGGGGAAAAGATAAGAAAACTGTAAAACCAAGCCCACTGACATTGAGTCAACTCCAACTCATAGTAGCCCTATAAGACAGAATAAAGCTACCCCTAAGGATTTCTGAAACTACATTTTTATAGGAGCAGACAGCCTCATCTCTCTCAGAGAGATTTTATTTTGTTTTTCCTCCTGGTGGGTTTGAACTGCTGACTATTCGCTTAGCAGCCCAGCGCATAACTCACAGCATGACCAAAGGTCCTTTTGTAAACTGAGGGGGGAAATAAAAAACTTTTGTGTAATCTATAGAAATGTGACGGGAGTCGTAATTTCTCTCTCAACTATCAGCTTGATGAGAGGTGGTCAGTGACATAGTCTGGGGTAGACTCAGAAGCCACTTGGCCACAGGACTTGGTTTTATCTTCAAATCCTCATCCTGGGGACAGAGATGTGATAAGACCCAGTAACCTTCCCTATGGCATTATACTTGGTGTTTTGTGACTTCACCTGACGCAAAAAGAGTATTTTTCATGTTGAACCTGCTTTTCCAATGGAAAAGCTTTGCATTAATTTTGCCTTCTTTCCTCAGTATCCAGCGAGCAGCGTTGGTGGTCCTAGAAAATTACTACAAAGATTTCACCATCTACAACCCCAACCTCCTCACAGCCTCCAAATTCCGAGCAGCCAAGCACATGGCTGGGCTGAAAGTCTACAATGTAGACGGTAGGTGCCTTAAAATCATTCTTTGGTGGATGTTGGGCATCAGACACAGTTTGAATGATTATTTAGCTTAAATTTTGTGGTCTGTTTAGTTCTACTCCTTTCTTAGTATTTATCCTCATGATACATTCTGATTTCAGAACAATTTCTGTTTTATTGCAAGCAAACAGACATTCAGAGGAATTGTCTGCATATCTAGGAGTTTCCTGCACTTGGGGAGTTTATGATTGAAAACAACAGCAATATGTCACTATTGCCTCCTGCTCAGAACATTTTACTGAAAGCTATTAGGAAAGGACTGCTTTTTAGAATTTGGATAAATTGCTCAAAGACTCAGAAAAGCCACCCCGATCGGTGAAGAATAGAGATCTCAATAGTATAGGCACCTGGCGAGATCCTTTCTAAGCATTTCTCAGTCTTGGCTAGGAGCTGGAGTTGAGAGGGTGACAGGAGGCTGGAGGCCAGGCGAGAAAGTCAGAGGTATGTTTTAGGGTATCAGATGGTTTCGTGCAAGAAACAGGACACGGTGTCATTTCTTCACAGGCACCTTGGGTCTGGGCAAGAGCTTTGCAAATCCTAGAACAGGATCATGTTGTCAGCAAGTCAAATGATTTATAGAGTGTCAGCTGGGGTGGAGATAGTCTCACCCTTGTATATTTTTGGCTGTTTGAGATGTGTGCTCCTTGCAAATCCTAAAGGATTGGTAAATTTCACATGTCATCTGAAAATTCCCACTATCAAAACCAAGTCACTTAAGTTGGCAAAGCAGAAGAACACAGGAGACTTAACTTGTCCTGAAAAGCTCAGATGATGAGTGTTCCAGGGAAGGAGACTAGGAGTCAGGAGTGTGTGTTCATATGTGTGTCCTGTGGCATGTTCTCCAGTACTGACTTTCTGGCATGCGGTGGCTACCATGATGTGACTCTCCAGTATAGCTTGTTTTCCTGTGTGTAATCAGTATCTTCACATCCCTTGACACATTCTCTTTTCTCTGTCTGTCCTTGTTCTCCCCACCCCTCTCATTCTCTCTCATTGTCTTGTTGCTGAAACGTGATGTTCCAGCTGCCCTTATGCCCTTTGTGTAGCAGATGGTAAGTAACATCTCCTGCTCACTCTGTGTGATTTCTGGCCGGTGTTTTCGTTGTCGAGCATTCTCCATCCCCTTCTGAGTCTGTTTTCCATGTCCACGGATCCAGTTTGGGGTTCAGGAAGGTTTTGTTCCCTTCCTGCCTTGGGGCATAGTAAAGAAGGAGCCAAGCTCCTAGGAGCTCAGCTTCCTGGAAGTTACTCTTGGGGTTTGTGTGTGTGCTTCGTGGATAGGTGGATCATATTGACAGATTCTGCCATTCAAATGTTCTTCCTCCACTCTCCTCCCTAAAGGCCCCAGTAACAATGCCACTGGTCAGTCCCGAGCAATGATTGCCGCAGCAGCTCGCCGCAGGGACTCAAGCCACAACGAGTTGTATTACGAAGAAGCAGAACATGAACGTCGGGTCAAAAAGCGGAGAGCCAGGTACGCCCCCCTGTCTCCAGGACACACCAACACCCTGAATGAGCTGTCAGGTTTACAGATGTGGCCTGTTTGAGCCTTTGGAGTATATGCAGCTCCTTTGTGTGTGAAACTTTACATTATCTAAGTATGACTCAGAGGACTTCTGAAATACAGATCACAGGCCCCAGGCCCCAACCCCAATATTACTATGCAGTGTGTCTGGAGTTGGGAGAAAGACATGGTTCTCACAAGTCCCCAGGCCTTGCTGATTTTCAGGACCTCAGCATATTAATTGAAGTGGACAGTGCTGGCCTTCATCATGTGTGCTGTGCCTCCTTTCTCCCTTCCTCTTTCCCTGGATCAAGGACGCTACAGCTCTGTCCTTGGTTTTGATTTTTCAGCTCTGGTTCTTTACAAGGCTGCTTCTGCACCACCAGCCATCACTCGGTGGGCGCAGAGCCTTTTTTTTAGCAGTGTTTGAGGTCACTTGAGAACTCTTTTTTTTTATCTAACTGCTTTATTTAAGAGATGAAAAGTGAAAAGGGCTGAAGTGAGCTACTCAAGTTCATTAGTGGGAGAAATGAGACTTCCTCACCACATTTCCAGGGCTGCTTTCTAGCTCCATGCTACATGTTATTTTTGGATTATTTGTCTGTCTTTGTTACCTAGTATTGCTGCACCAAAAATACAATTGAATGATTTTAAAGAATAGGAATTTGTTGTCTCACAGTTTTGGAAAAGTCTAAATTCAGGGCATTGACAAGGCTCTGCTCTCTCTCTCTCTCTTGGAAGAGTCTTTCAGAATCTGTTGTTTTTATTATTGTTGTTAAGTGCCAGGGAGTTGGTTCCGACTCATAGCGACCCTATATAGGATTACCGAGGAGTGACTGGTGAGTTTGAACCACCAACCGTGTGGTTCAAACTGACCTTGAAGTCTAGCACTTAGGGTACCGCACTAGGTAGCCCTGGGCATTTCTTGACATTTCTGGGTTTGTAGATGGCTCCTCACATGGTCTTATCCCTGTGTGTGTCTGTTTGTCTCCCTAGGTCTATTCACCCTGTGGCACTGTGGGCTAATGCACTGGCACTGCAAAGTCAGTTTGAACCGCAAAGTCAGTGGTTCAAGCTCAAACAGCCAGTGCTTAAAATCCCTGTACAGGGTTGCTATGGATCAGAACCGACTCAATGGCACTTAACAGCAACATAAGGCACATTTGGAGATGACTAGATTTGGGACCCACAAACAACCTCTCTGATTATGGCCTAATCAGCATGACAAAAGAAAGATCACCCTCATGTCTCTTAGGAGACACAATTCAACCCTTAGAACTTCTTGTCTCCTTTTTTTCCTTCCCCACCATCTGGAGTGCCAGTTAGAGAAGGGGCCACCATGATTGGGTCTTGAGTTGGTCAGGAATCCCTCCAGATCCTTCATGACTTCAGTTCAGGAACCCTACAGTAGGCACTGTGCTGATTACTGGGTTGTCATTTGCCTTCCCAGGCTAGTGGTTGCAGTGGAAGAGGCCTTCATCCACATCCAGCGTCTCCAGGCCGAAGAGCAGCAGAAAGCCCCAGGAGAAGTGATGGATTCCAGGGAGGCTGCGCAGGCCATCTTCCCCTCCATGGCCAGGGCTTTGCAGAAGTACCTGCGTACCACCCGGCAACAACACTACCACAGCATGGAGAGCATTCTCCAGCACCTGGCCTTCTGCATCACCAACAGCATGACCCCGAAGGTGCGCCATCCGGGCTGGCTCTGCTCACCTCGGCCATGCCTGCCCTAGAGCTCCACAGATCACATTTTGAAGTATTTCCCAGAATGATAAAATACTAGGCTTAGCTAAAAACAGCAGTTAGTAAGAATTTGTGATTCTCACTTACTGATCTTAGTACAATTTTTCAAACTTTTCAAGGACCTCTAGATTCAAACAAAGGAACAAATTTCCTTTGACAGTATGAATACTTGTTCAGGGCATACTGTGGGCTCTGGTGCCAAACTGACTTACTCCAACCTGGCTCTGCTACCACTAAACTCATAATGACCCTCTATAAGGTTTCTAAAGCTGTACATCTTTTTGGGAGCAAAAAACCCTCATCTTTCTCCCATGAAGAGACTGGTAGAATTGAACTACTGACCTTGCAGTTAGCAGCCCAGCTCATAATCCACTACTGTACCAGGGCTCCTTCACAAACTGTATAAATGTGGGTAAATAGATAATGGCTCTGTGCCTCGTGAAATCTGTGAAATGGGGTTAATACTGATAAGTCCTTCATTGATTGTTTTATGAGAGCTCAAAGAGTGACATCTTTAAACCACTCCTGACACTTGGTAAGGACTCAATAGAAGTAATACTGTCACTTTATTAGATGTGTTAAATGTTGGAGAATTAGTTTTACTGAATTGTCATTTGGATTATGATTTTAGAGATATTATAAAAAGAACAACAACCATTTTGCTAACAGAGAGATGTGATCAAAGAGGCAAAATAAAGTAAGGATTTAGTGAATCCCCTGTCTGTAGGAAGTAGGTGCAAATATTAGCTCTAACACTTAATTGGTTTGTGAATTTGAACAAGTTACTATGCATGTGTCTCCTCGTGTGTAAAATGGGAATCATGATAGCATCAACCTGAAAGGGTCATTTTATGAGAATCTTATTATCTGTGGCACAAGGCACATTAATCCCTTGGTAGGGACTAAACTAGCTTCTTGTTGTTGTTAAGTGCCGTTGTGTTGGTTCTGACCCTTAGTGACACGGTATAAGGTTTCCAAGGAGTGGCTGGTGAGCTTGAACCATCAACCTTGTGGTTCAAACCAACTTTGTAGTCCAGGCATTAACCCACAGCACCACACCAGGACATATAGTAAATATGTAAACAAGTACATATATTACATTGTTTGTGTGTAAGTGTTGACCACGTTTGTGCGTAACACCATACAGGTAAGGTTGTGTAAAGTATACTGTGCACTGCTTGTCTAATTGTAATCAGTGACAACCCCTTAGAAATATTCAAGAAGAAACCATAAAGATTTCCATACTCTTTGATTCCGCCAAATCTCACTTCTAGGACTCATCCTAAGAAAATACTCAGCAGAATTAGATATATACATGATTCTGCATATATGGGAGTCCTGGTATGGCATCAAAGGATAAGCACTTGACTTCAAGGTCAGCTTGAACCACAGTGTTGGCAGTTTCTTTAATTATTAGTGTAGTGGAACTCTTCATTTTTTTTATTTCCATGAATGTTTATTCACCTATCGATCATTTCATTTCCCTGTATTTTGAGGTCTTTTTCTTACTGATTTTAAGTGCCATTGAGTCACTTCTAACCCACAGCAACCTTGTGTAGGGTTTCTGAGGAGCAGCTGGAGAGTCTGAACTGCTGACCTTGAGGTTCAAACTGACCTTTGTGGCCCAGCACAGTATCCAGTAGTGCTGTTGAGTCCATTTTGATTCATAACATTGTACCCAGTACTGTACACAGGACTGTGTTTTGTATAGCAGACACAGCTCTCCTTTCTGCATTAGAAACTATGTCCCACAGGTCAAAAATAATGTAACTGGAAGTAGCAGTGAGGTGTGACTAGAAGAGAGTACCGCTTAAAAACTCTCCTTGGCCTGTGTCTAAGACAAGATTGATGGATCCCACTATTTTTCTGTCTGTGTTAATGATTGGTTCTTTCTCACTCTTTCTACACAAAATCAGTATATTTATTGATTTAATGTACATACTATTGAGATCGTCCCTCATAGGGTAGTGGGTTATGAGTTGGGCTGCTAACCTCAAGGTCAGCAGTTTGAATCTACCAGCTGCTCCACAAGTGAAAGATGAGGCTTTCTGCTCTCTGTAAAGGCTTTCTGAAAAGATTTACAGTCCCAGAAACCCTATACAAGGTTGCTATGAGTCGGAATCTACTTGAAGGCACTCAACCACCACCGCTACCATTGAGCACCTACTATATGCAAGGCACAAAATGCAAAAACAGAAGTATCATCTTTGCCCTCGATGAGAGTGAAGACTGCTAGTATTAGGGACAGACAAGCAAATCAGTAGTAAATGGTCAGAAAGGAAAGTGTCCCACTAGAGTCATGCCCAGTGATAATAAGAACTTCGAGGAGGGCATGGTAATCTGTCTGCAAGGCTCAAGCAGGGAGTTTGAGTAAAGATTTAATGGTAAAGTGGCAGGAAGAGCAGCATACGTGAAGGTACTGGGAAAGCAGAGAACTGTAAGAAGCTCAGTGCTGCTGGAGCCAAGAACTTGGGAGACGACAAGTAGATGTAGCTGCTCATCCCTTGGGCTTGTCATATACACTCTCATATAATAACCAGCATGCACATAGATTGATTGCACTATGTGCCAAGCCTGGACATACATCCACGATAAGAGTTAGCCCATGTCATCCTCATAGAAGTATTATCTCCACTTACCTCTGAGGAAACCAAGATGCACAGAGGTGATATCCATTGTCCAAAGTCCCACAACCAGGAAACGGGAGAGCATCTGGTTCAGGGCATCCAAGTATATTCATGCATCTTTTCAATGAGTGTTCCTCTGTGTTCCTCTGCCCTTGTTTAGAGGAACATTTAGGAGGAGGAGGTACACCTACAGTGATGGGCACCTGTATAACTTGAGGGTAGGTACAGTTGCATCCATATCCATGGAGTGGGCTGGTGGGCTAGTGAAGACTTCCGGGCAAACATTGATCCCAGCCTTCCTATCTTCTCTTTTCCTCTGTGGTTAATAGTACCTTCACCCTCCAATTTGGAACTTGACAAAGTTTCCCCTCCCCACTAATGACTCTACTGTGAGAATTTGGTAGGAATTTAATAGTAAGCTGGGCTCTGGTATAAAGTCTTTTTTTGATTGAAAGTCATTTGTTATCGGTTTAAGAATCAGTAGCACCCCCGGAAGAGAGAGAGCCAGGACTCCCCTTGGATCTGGATACTTCCTTAACCATCTCCCTCTTCTGTTTTCAGGCCTTCCTGGAACGTTACCTCAGTGCAGGGCCCACCCTACAATATGACAAGGATCGGTGGCTCTCTACCCAGTGGAAACTTGTCAGTGATGAGGCAGTGACTAATGGCTTAAAGGATGGAGTCATTTTTGTCCTTAAGTGCCTGGATTTCAGCCTCGTTGTCAATGTGAAGAAAATTCCCTTCATCGTACTTTCAGAAGAGTTCATAGACCCCAAGTCTCACAAATTTGTCCTTCGCTTACAGTCTGAGACATCCGTTTAAAAGTTCTATATTTGTGGGTTTATAAAAAAGAGTATATATAGATATATATATATATATGTATGTATACCAGAGGGGTGTCTTTTGTTTTTGTTTTTTTTAATTTTCCATTGCTGACTGAAACTGGCAGATGATAGACCAGTAGTCCTCTATGACCATCTGCACTTTATCTGGAAGGAAGCAGGCCACGTCTGCCCTGAAAATAATGACTAATGATGTCTGACTCTTGTCAGCGGGACTTCTCAAGAAGCTGTTCCCTGGAGTTTCTCTGCAGCTATAAACCAAATTGAGCTGGGGCATTCTTGGGAACCTTGCCTTACAACTAGTTCCTGTCTCTCCTCCACGGCCACGTCCTCCCGTTGCTTCGATTGGCCCCAACTAGGGCACACATCTTCACTCTTTCAGGAAACTGGACACTACGTGTCCACTTAGGTCTGTGTGCAAATGTTCTGTTTCATCACACCCTTCTAGAGCCATGGGCAGTTCAGAAAATGCCTTCCTTTATATCTTGTCTTTGTTGCCTTAGGTTCTTCAGAGAAATATTACAACAAAAATGTGCACTATCAGATTACACATGCTAAATGATTTTATTCTTTCCCAAGAGAAATCTACCTGCCCTGTTTCTTAACCCTACTGACTTGAAGCCAGCAACCCTTTTCAATGCTTGTCCATAGCAAGTTTGTTCCACACAACCTTCCCCAACATACACCCCACCATACAGTCCCATCTGGCTGGAAGCTCTGACCAGGAAGGTTCAGTCTTTAGGGCTGACAGGAACCTGGCTCTTGGTTTGTGACCTCAGGTCCTTTGTACAAGTCAGTTACCCATACAAGAAGTACAGAGTGCCCACCAGGGAGATCAGTGACAGTTAGCAGGAACCCCAAACTTCCCAGTCCCATCCACCCCTCACCCCCACCATATACCAACCAGGGGAAGACAATCACTGTGAGCTCAGGACCGGCTGGTACAGATTGGTGCTTACTTTCCACAGAAACAAGATCTTACAAAGCTTACGTACCAAGCTACCCTGCCAACGGAGACCAAACATTGCCTACCACAATGGCAGCTACTGATGTCAGTCACTATATTTTCGGATCACAGCTGTTTACTAACAATGAAGGGGCTGGTTCAACCCTGTTTAAATTACTTTCCAGAGTTGGTAGACATGGGAAAAGGCAAATGTATAGGCTGTTGAATTTAGAGAAGAAGTAAAGGAGCCAAGGGGTCGAGAACGATTCATACATGATCTGTTTCTGAAAATACAGCTGATTTCACTAGGCTCTCCCCTGGACCTGGGGGACAGATGATTCTACCTGGAGCCAGAGCCATCCCAGAATCCTGCAGACACCTTTCAGGGAGGCTGCCTTTACTTCTTGTTTCCAAAACAAACCTTGAGAAAGTATGTATTCTTACCTTGGCCAGGTAGTTAGGGACATTGGTTACCTTGTGTGAGTATAGGAGGGCACTGTCGAAATGTCCTGTGTGTGTGTACACTCCTACTGTTGATGTGTTTCAGATGCAGTACAATATTTTCTTTTATCATTTTTAAAATCAGAATTGGCTTTGGTTATTTGTAATACACCTGTACCTGAAAAAAGGAAACACCATTCTTGAATCAACAGTCCACAGCTCACAAAGATGTGCTGGGAAAGAAGGGAGATTGTAGGCTGTGGCATGGAGCCAAGATAGACTTCTAACTACATGTTTCTGTTCATGAAAAAGACGTGCCATCTAACCATGGTGCTTTTGTTCTTAGTTTTTACCTTAAGTCCCTTCAAACTGGAAGTTCCTTATGATGTCATTCTCAGGAAATATATGTTGAAAGACAGGATAAAGGTGGTGAATGTGTGTGAGACTTTGGCTGCATAACCATGATCTTGTTCAGACTAGAGAATGTGTCCATGCGGCGGCACCGTGAGCCCTGTACCACTGGAACTATCATAAATGGAGCTTTGCTATAGGTAGCCATCCAGTTGATTTGGACGCATTATGACAGAATAAAACCACCCCGTAGGGTTTTCTTAGCTGTAATCTTTATGAAAACATATCACCAGGTCTTTCTTCCTGAGGAGTCACTGGGTAAATTTGAATCACCCTCCTTTTGGTAAGCAGCTGGGTGCTTGCTTAACTGATGCGCCTTTAGGTAACTACACATAGTTAATTGTGCCACCCATTGCATATAGTTAATTGAGCTCAAATATAGCAAAGATCAGGAGCTCTTGTAATTTAGTGGATGCGAGCTGGACTGCTAATCTTAAGGTCAGCAGTTTGAAACTACCAGTGGTTCTGCAGGAGAAAGATGAGGTTTACTACACCTGTAAAGATTTACAGCCTCAGAAACCCTGTACAGGGTCACTATGAGTCAGAACCTACTCCACAGCACATAACCAACCAAAGAGCATGCAGTTGGCTCTGGACCGGGCAGCTTTTCCTTCTGTTACACTTAAGATAGTCATTGAGTTGGAGCCAACTACCAGCAGCAATGTAGTAATTGACACTGTACATCAGTATTTTAAAGTACTGTGCTTCAGACCCTATCTTAAATTCCCTGTCCAGAAGGAGTTGACTTAAGAGTGTTTTGGTCTGACCCGGGGCATGTGCCTGCCCAGCATGGTGGAGAAAGGTTTCAATTATGGAATTTATTTTCTCTCTCCCTCTTCCCCTTTTCCATTCTTTGCATAGGAGAATGTCAGTCTTTCTAAAATGATTGTTTTTGGTTTTAAATTGAATATCGATTTTTTTTTTTTCACACTGACTTTGTACTGAGTCCTTTTGAAAGAATAACACAATAAAATACAGGATCTTTGTAAAGCCTTTGCACTTTCAAACTCTTAATAGCTTGAGTACTGGTGTAGTGGGAGCAATGTAAATGGCATTAAAACATTTCAAGTTTCAGAAAGCTGCATCGCCCAATTGAAAACAATGCATTTTTATTTCAGTTCTTGAGACCAATAGGTGATTGTTTTAAAGGGGAGCAAACTGGATCTATGGGCTAGTTGAATCTATGTCCACATTACAGGAGACAGGATTTCATTTGCCTTAAATGTTTATAGATTTTTCTGTAACTCAGCCTAAGTTATTAAAATCGGAACTATAAATGTTGCAGAGAAGGCAAGCTTAGTGAAGAGTAGATGTTTGTGGTTGCTCTTTGTCCTGGCAGTATTTTAGCCAGTAGATAACTTTTTGTTCTTATATATATACTTTAAAAAAAAAAAAAATTGTTTATTGTGAATTGAGTGAAGGTTTACAGAGCAGATCATCAGTTTTACATTTGACAAACCATATACTCTGCTTTATTACATGGTTGCAGCCCCCTCCATGTACCAACAGTTCACAGCATTTACCTCTATTCACTTTAGTTATTGTAGTCTTCCGTGTGTCTCCTGCTACCTTCACCTTTCTTGTGCTAACCTCCCTCTTGTATGTTGTCTACCCTGTCACCCTTGTTAACATGAATAATCCTCCCCTTAACTATCATAGACTCTTTTATCAAGAAAAACTTATTTTTTTAAAACTTTTTACAACATTGGTCTCATACAATGTTTGTCCTTTTGTGATTGACAAATTTCACTCAGTATAATGTCCTCCAGGTTCAACAATGCTGTGAGGTGTTTCACAGATATATCTTTCTTCAGTGTTCTGAAGTATTCCATTGTGTGTATGTACCAAAATTTGTTTAAACATTCTTCGGTTGATGGGCATTTAAGTTGTCTGTGTCTTTTTGATATGTCTCTTTTAGCATATTAAAACATCCAGTTTTCTTTTCCATTTTTTTAAATTGTCTCTTGACTGATATATTTAATCTATTTACATTCAATTATCAATAGGTTTGAATTGATTGCTGTTACTTTTCTTGTTTTTCATGCTGCTGCTGGCTTCTTTGTTCCACATAATATACAGGTGTACTATCTTTCTTTAAGGTTACCCTGTAGTTTATTATATTTCTTCTTGCTTAAAACAGCTTATTTTATAATCTTCCTTGCCATTTGGAAATCCTGTATCTACACCATTCCCTCTTTTTACTTTTATCTACACTACTCCCTCTTACTTTGTAGTTGACTTCATTATACATGAGTATCTCTAGTACCCTGTTTTCAGTCTTGTAGGTTTGTTGTGTTTTAAGTATTTGTATATCTGGGTTGATTTCTGGGTGTTGATATCATGTATGTAATCTCAAGTTGTTGTCTGCTGATATTAGGTTGTTGTCTTCTGTTGGTTCTCTGTCTGAAGAACACCCTTTAACATTATTTGTAAAGTTGGTCTGGTCATTACAAATTCCTTTAATTTATGTTTGCCATGAAATGTCCTAATTTCACTATCATATTTGAGGGACAACTTTGCTGGTTATGTGATTCTTTGTTGGTAATGTTTTTCTTTCAGAATTTTGTATATGGCATTTCATTGCCTTTTTGCCTACATGGTTTCTGCTGAGAAATCAGAGCTTAGTCTTACTGGTTCTCCTTTGTTAGGTAACTTCATTTTTTCCCATGTTGCTTCCTTATCTTTGATTTTGAAAGTTTGATTATGCTGTGTCTTGGTGATTTTCTTTTGGGATCTATCCTGTTTAGGGTTCATTCAGCTTCTTGTATGTTTTATCTTTTTTGTTTCATGATTTTAGGGGAGTTTTCTTCCAACAACTCTTCAACAATTTTCTCTCTGCTTATCTTTTCTGTTCGGAAATTGCAGTCACCCATAAGTTGTTCTTCATGTTGTCCCACATAAATATTAGGCGATCTTTGGGTTTTTGTCATTCTTTTTTCTGATTGTTCTTCTAGCATACTAGTTGTTGTTAAGTACCATGGGGTCAGCATACTAGTTTTGAGAGCTTTATCTTCTAGCTCACAAATTTGGATTTCCATTGCTTTGCATCCACTCCTTTGCCCATTCAATGTATTGTCCATTTCCGAGATGTTACTATTATTCTTCTGGATTTCTAACTGCAGGTTTTATATTGTTTCAAATTTTGCATCTATTTTGTCTGTTTGCTCTTGTAGTGTTTTCCTCAATTCTTCTAAATTTTTATTGTGTTCTCCTTGCTTTCCTTGATCTTTCTATTGATCATTTTGAAAGTACCTAATTATCATTCTTTTTAAATTATTTTTCTATGTCAGAAATGTCTTCTGGCTCTTCCATCTTGGTCGTTTGTTTTAACCATTCTCTCTTGTTTCTTTGTGTGACTTAAAAATTGTCTGCTATGTCTGGAGCATTGTAGTTGACTTCATTATACATGAGTATCTCTAGTACCCTGTTTTCAGTCTTGTAGGTTTGTCAAATTTGTAAAAACAAACAATGCAATTGTTGGACCCAAAGGGAAGAAATCTCTAGGGGCCTCCTGCAACTCAAGGAGCTCACGAGGTACTTGTGGAAGGGATGTGACAGCAGAGTTCCAGGCCCTAGATGAAGTTCCTATTGGCCTCGCTGTGGTCTGTGTTCAGGGCACTCAATCTAG